ACAAAATAAGAATTGTTGTCGAAGAAATCATGCAATTTTCGTATGAACAATCACGGCCCCTGTTCCCCGCCTTTTGACACGGGGGGCTACTAGTCCGTAGTGCATGTTTTTTGGCTCCAGGTGCTTCTTAGCATAGGCAATTAGGCATGATTGCTTGCCCAATTCACTACTGTAACAGATAGCTGGGCGACAGGCAAGTGATCACAGTTATTTATAATTTTCTTTGTTTTCAATTTACAGTGATTTTTCCTTTCTGTCAAGTAATCTGCTTCAAAATTTGCATTTTGTTTCTTCTGTATACATACACGAAATTGACATCTAGGGTGTTGATTGAGAACAAACAGTATACTGAACTTTTATGATATAAATATTGTAATTTGTAACTGCATTATTGACAAAAAAATGCTTCATCAATCATGACAATTGACAAACGAAGCTCCAGGTTCTTATAGAGATTTCTACGTTTTTCTTCAAATAGTGAAGCTACTATAGCAAGCAGAAGCGGGTGGGGACTATTTCTTCGAGTTTTCAAATCCACCCTTTTGTACACCTCAAAATGACTAAAGTGAATTTGACAGATGGTTTGGCCCTATCGGGGTTTCTATCCCACATCGGCTTTGGGGGGTTGGGATTTGGGTAGTTAAGTCCCTGAGAGCAATCTAAGAGTTGTCGGCTTTTGGGTTGACTTCTAAGATTAGATTTAATTAGTCAAATTTCGTTTCTCGAAAGAAGAAAAAACAATGGCAGTAATCTACCGGCATCAGCAAAAGACAAGAAACTTCGGCTTGGGTCGTCTTTCTCTGGGTTTGTGGGGGTCTTCACCGCTTAGTAGCAGCGGGTCCAATAGGCTTGGCCCCTGTCGGGCTTACGCTAATATGACCCATTTGAAGTTACGGTGCTTTAATTTCAAAAAAAAAAAGGAAGCATTTTTAAGTATCAAAAGCACGTTTTAAATGTTTGGTAACTAATTTTTTTTTTTGTAATTGAAGGAGTCTAACTTTTGATAATTTAAAAGCATTTGTATCAGAAGTGTTTCTTTATAAGTTACCATAACCTGAGATGTAGCCTATGCCAGGACAACTCCAAGCATACCCTTATCACGTTTCTTCTTTTCTTTCATGTTAGTAGGTTGAAACCTTGGAATATAGGAGGGCTGATAATTTCATTAATTGACAGCCAAAAGAAGGACATTTTGGATAGTGTATTATTTGAAATATTATTTGGAATAATTACTGTAGCACTTTTTGTGATGTAATGTATGTGAGATAAAAAGGTAATTGGGAATATAAAAAAATGGGTTGGGAAATGTGTTTATGATGCAAGCGAAATATTATTTGGGATTAAAGCACTATCCAAACAACTATTTTCAGGTTGAACACTTTTTCTAGGGCTTTTTCATATTTCCTGACAAATTCTTTTAATATTGCAAGATATATATATAAAAACTAAATACAAAACTTGTGGTTCAAAAGTGTAATTCTCGTCCACAGCCGACCCTGTAAGAAAGAAAAGAGTAGGCTTCTTATTATTTAAACGGCCTCTTTTTAACCTGCTTCAGAAAACAAAAAGTTTTCGAAAAAAAATATTAAAAAGAAAGTACATTAAATAAAGTACCGTAGTGAAAATGGATACAGGCAGTGAAAGTTGTCGGTGATATAAGGGATGAGGAAGGTGATTTTCTAGAAAATAGAGAACTACAGTAAGTTATAAAAAAGTTTCGAAGTAAATATTCAAAAAAAAAAAAAAATACACCATCTAAATGAATGTAAAATGTCTTGAAGATGTAATCCAAGGGCAAATCTAATAAGATAAAACCAACAACAGCTCAATCCTTCCAAATAATCAGTATACTCTATAGTATACACATGGGTTCATTTGTCTCAATTCTGCAGATAATAGTAGCATACTGAAAAATACATGCCTGTCTGGTTAAAGTCTGTTTTAGGTGATACATAACGAAAACATGCTCGCTACTTCCCCGTCACTCTCTGGTACGTGAAGAAATGCTTCCACCACGTCTATAGCATCTGATCAGTGATAGTTGAATAGTCTCGGGAGGGCTAATCTATTCTTTTCCATCTTCAGCCACCAAAACAATATCATATTTCTTTGGCTCAGCATTTTTCTACGTTCTAAAGATAAGAGCATTTCCAACAGCTCTGGCAAGTTAAAACATTCGGGTAAAATTCCAAAAAAAAGTATGGCTTTTGGGCCAGAGTTTCAGAAGAAACTTTTGTTAATTGCAAGTACCACTCTCAGAACCAAGTGTTTTTCAACCCTTCACACAATCAACCAATTTGTAGCCCCGAATTGCACATTATTTCATCAAAAGACATCATCACCTATTGTGACAAAATAACAACAAGCCCTCAAAAAATCAACCAATCATTGATTTTGGAACAGAAATGTGGTCAAAATCGGATTCAGTTGTCAGCTGCCCTTATCGGAAATAGGATTGATTGCCGATTCCAACGGAACTGGAGTTACATCTCGTTTCCACAAATAATTCATCTTGTTGAAATTTGCATTTTTTTTTTTTGGCTGCAACCATTATTGTTGATTTCATTGAGGGTATGTTTGTATCTTCATTGTAAAAGGTGTCTCTATAGCACATGACAAGGTTGCTGTTGCTTTTGGGGCTGCTTAGTTGATTAAATTACAACGGAAAAATTACGAAGACTTTACAAGCAAAAATTGATTTAATTGAAGAATGAATGAAAGAAATAAACCAGGACCATTAAGTCTTTTGAGGGTGTATTCCATAATTAACCCAAAAAACTGTGAACAACTTAAACAAAGCTACATGAAATATCACTTTTTACCATGCACTCATTTTTTGCCGGATGTTAATCTCAACACAGACCAAAAAGGGAAAAAAAAAAAAAAGAAAAGAATTTGTGGGACCTAGTTCCATGACCACGGTTAGAAGTGTTTAACTAAGAGTGAATTTAATAAAACTGAAATTTGAATCCGTTTAAATTACTGAGTTGTTAAATACTAAATTTGATATAATTGAGTGCATGTCACATTAGTAATAAGTGAATAGTTTATCACTTATCTTTTGAAACAATTTTTGCCTATGAAAGTCATTACTACTTAATCAATTTAGATGTTCAATATTTAGTTATCAAACATGTTTAAACATATTAAAATTTATATCCATTAAGTTTAAGTACCGAATTGGGTTATCAAACAAGACTTAAGAATACCTGTTTGTATTGCTATTCTCTAGAGAAAAATATACTATAATGATTTGATATTTATCAGGTAAAAAGGTGTTTGAAAAATATGTTCATAAAAAACATAAAAATTTTTTAGATAAATTTTACTTTCCAAACAAGGACGGGTTTGGTTACAAAAGGAACAGTGTAAAAATTGAGAAAATACTACTAGCTACTAACCAACTGTTATTCATTAATTTTAACCAAAAAAAAAAAGAGATAGTAAACTACAACTAGGGATGGCAACGGGGTTGGGTTGGGGTGGGGAACGCCCTTGGCCCACCCCGGGACTAATAAAAATTTGTCATATAATTTATTATAGTCAAATTTTAGCAAATAATCAAATGTTAAAATATCAACATATCACCAAATTATTATCCATTATAATTTTACAATTGAAATTCATAAAAGTAATTAAACAAAAGTTATTTGAATACAATCCAACACGATAAAACAAATATAACTAAAATAGTCAAGACAAATACAATTACTAAGTCATTATTGTATTCTTTGAGAAAAAAAGTGTTATTGTGTTAAGTATAATTAGAAATTTATTATAAATGTATTAGTAAATTTAGTATAACTAATTAATAATTTCTATTAGTAGACATGCATAATTATCAGTATCAATTATACTACAGCATAATTAGCAGTACGCTCACCCCAAACCCCGCTCTATTAACTCCCGTGAGGCAGTTGTTCGCCCCAATTTCCATCCATAACTACAGTCATTCGTAAGATTATTAAAGCTGTGGAAGACCCGACTGCCCCAGTCTATTTAAATTCCAAAATAACTCCTTTGGTTGATTATTAAAGCAGCCGCATGTCAATTCTGTCTTTTTCCTGGCGGCAGAGGGCCTATGTTGAAATCCCTGATGCTGCTCAATTATTACTGTGACTGTTCTTTCAAATTAATTCATCTGAATCATGCGCAGTACATGTAGTATCTGATTCACTGAGGCTAACACAGGGTCATTGAATAAAAATTAAAATAGAATGACCACTGATAAAAGTTACTGACAAATTTGTTGTAAATTGTGATCGTTTTACTCTTCTCTTGGCCATAGGATTCATAAAATAATTAAGCTAGTACCCATGGCATGGAGTTGTCTGGAGATACAAGCTCAGATCTTTGATAGCCCCCACCTTCGCCATGCCTTGAACTGTTCATGCACAGGGGTCCGACCATGAAGGGGCGTTGAGTAAAGCAATTCTGATACGGATGAATTCGGGGTTTGAGACAGGTACGTATAGTTGAGATTTTGGTACGATTTTGCAACTTTGGATATTTTACATGATTTAGTATAAATTAACTTTGTTTTGTATATCTACAATAGCACACTGTGAAAGAAATATAACAACCGCACTAATTGTACCAAAAACCAACCGCAGGCGACTCAGTCCATCGCAGAAGACGGAGTGGTAGAGGGGATAACCAGCCACTCCCTGCTAAATTTTTTTAAAAATTTTAATTTTTATGCTATGTAGTTTTAGTACTAGCTGTAGCTGTAGATGGAACCTCGTGAAAACAAAGCCTAAAGGCTGTGCAACTTCGAAAAGTCAGTTGAATATGGTATAGCACCAAGTCATGTATGTGATAGGTTAACTTAATTTGTTACTGAGACAAAAATCTTGCACACTTTTGCATTTGCATAATGACTCGCCAAATTTTCACAGACCATAATTAATTACTCAACAGCCATGCACTTGAGAACCTTAGTGACAACGAAATCTATTACAGCCTTCTGTATATCATGCCACCGCCCCGAGAGAGAGAGAGAGTGGATAGGACAGTCAAATGTAGTAGAAGTGTGAATGCATGGAATGAGTAGGATGAGCTAGAATGGTTTTTTAGCTAAGTTCTTGCTTTGCTCTCTCTCTCTCTTCGAGTTTATATATACCTGACCTGACCTTTGAGATTTGTCTCAGAGCCACAACTTTTCCTTGACTGCAGCAACATCAGTCTTCTCTTCAACTAGGAGTATCATTCACCAACACTACCATCTCTTCTCCATCCGTCTCTTCCATCACTTTCTTGAAGCCATTCATTCATTTCCAATTCCAAAGCCATCAATGGCAACTTTTTCGTACCAACGCCAACAACAACCTTTACATCTTGAATCATCATCAGGACTGTTTTTGCAAAGCAGCTCCCAAATGAGGATGTCTGCAGGCCTTCTTGAGGAGCCAAACATGACAAGAATGACCACCACCACTACTTCTTTCCCTCATTCTACCAGCCTGATCATTTTCTGCATCAGGAAATCCCTTCCAAATCCTATGTTAATGAAAGTACTTGTTCCATCTTTGACCAGAGCTGCACAAAAGTTGCTCATTTTAGCAATAATGGGCCGTCCTTAACAAACAAAACTTCCACTGATTCTTCATCAGTAACTGATAAACTTGAAAGTGGGGAGCAAGTTACTCAGAAGGTACATGCTGCAGCCATGGACAAGAAGAGGAAAACAAAGAAGGGCCTCTTCCTGTAAATTCTGCTCAATCAAAAGTACTTAATCCATTTTTTTTTTTTCAATTTTTCATCATGGATTTTCTATCAAAACTGTTTACTCATATACATCTACGAGCCCTTTTTCCCTTTTAATTTAAAGTTTCAAGACTATATGTCTTATATGTTCTTTAATTAGGCTATAGGAGATCAATTAGCTAAAGGGAAAAAGCAGAGGAAATGTGGCAGAATTATGAAAGAGGATGAAGACAAGAAGTCTAATGAGGATAAAAAAGTTCCAGAGAAAGCTGCTGAAGAAGCTCCCCCACAGGCTACATTCACGTAAGAGCAAGGAGGGGCCAAGCCACGGACAGCCACAGCCTAGCTGAAAGGGTACAATTCCATTAAATAATCATCACTAGTTATTGTTCTTGAAAATAAAAACCTTAAATGCTTACTTTTCTCTGACATAAACAATTAAGGCAATAACTATATTGTCTAGTACACAAACCATGATTAAAATTTTGTCACATGTACCACTCAAAACCAAAATTACTGCAGTTGGGATCCCAATAGTGCCAAGTTCATGTATCAGCTAAATTTTTACTGGAATTGATATCAGGTGAGGAGAGAGAAAATCAGTGAAAGGATGAAAATATTGCAAGCACTTGTTCCAGGTTGTGACAAGGTGAAGTTTTTCATCAGCATCTTGTCTTTTTTTGTTTGTCTCGATAAAGTTTTTTTTTTTCTGACAATTTGAAGTGACTTTGACTGATAAACAGGTAACCGGAAAGGCCCTCATGTTGGATGAAATAATCAATTACGTCCAATCCTTACAAAATCAAGTTGAGGTAAAACTTTTGACAGACTTGTTATTTGGTAAAGTTTTTGAAGCTTGCTGTTTTATAATCCATGCAAAATATTTCAAATTCTTGCAGTTTCTATCCATGAAGCTTGCTTCTCTAAATCCGATGTTCTATGATTTTGCATGGACTTGGATCCATATATTGCAAGACCAGAACCGGTACATGCTACACAATGTTCTAACACAATTGTGTACCAAGTTGTTATATTTCAGAGAATGTTTCACCATTGTCGTCCATACTTATCCTGATGAAATTATGTCTTTTTTTCCTTTCTTTCTTTTATGATGAGATGTGATTAGCAGACGCTGAGTAACATGGCATCACCGGTTCAAAAATATGCAACAATGTGATCCAATGCAGGCACCAATCATTTCTGGCCACAAAACAATAGCTTGAAGAACTGATACTGCCAATAACTATCCTCAGTTGGATTCTTCAGCTTCAGCATTATTAATTCAAGAAAGCCACCACATCCCTCAAATTCTCTCTCAGGTGCTTTTAACTTTTCATGGCCGCCAATAGTAGGATGAAAAGCATATATTAATTGATAAAATTAAAGAAACAATAAAGTAAAAGAATATTTTCTTTCTTCCATGGAGAAATAAATGCTCAGGTCGGTATCTTTGTGGCTTAGACAAAAATATCACTTTCAGGAAAATGGACAGCTCTTGTGGGATGTGGATGACCGAAGACAGAAACTTATTAATCAGACGGGGTTCAACAACAACTTGTGTTCGTTTCATTAATTATAAGACCAAAGGGCAAGAGTTGCCCTACACATATCTGGTAAGGCCTCAATTGCTGTCTCAAATAATACGAGCAAATGCTAATAAAAATTAGTGACAACTGCGAATGAGCTAAGAGACATATGTACATATAGTCATTATCAGAAATGCTTCTTTTCATTTCATGCCCCTTGATTTGAATTTTTAGTACTTTTTCCTGGCTTTCACACCATTTGAGATTTGAGAAATCTCAGTTGGTTATTTGGGCCGTATGCCATTATTGTTTAGCATAAAGCAAACTAATTAGAACGGACGACGTGCATGCATAGGGCTTAATCACTTGGGAATTAATTACTTAGGTAGATTTAAACTATTAAACCAACGTGCCTTTTTTTTTTTTCTTTGTACTTTTTTTTTAGTGTAAGCAAGAGGTCTCGAACCCGAGATCTCTCACTTACACTCCCTCCCCCCGTATCACCCAACCCAACCCTCCCCCAACCTACATGCCTTAATTGCTCTTACCTTTCCAGATGGTATAAATAATAATGCAAATGTTACAATTATTTAAAATACCCAGTCTGCAAGATCAAGTCCCCAACTGAATTAGTTCACTTATGTCGACGAAATATTTGTTGAACACCTGAGTTTCTCTGTAGTCCACAATTGTTTAGAGATAATGCGACAAGGCACACTGAGTCTCATATGGTCCTACGTACTACCTCCATGTCTCATTCAATGGAAGAAATGTTTACATGCACGAATTATCCGAAAAAAAAAAAAAGGAAAAGAAGAACAAATATAATAGATACAAGTATTAGCTATATAACCCTAAAAAACAGAGAATTGTTGCAGGTTTTGTATGTTTTCTTCTTTTGGTAATTTTGCTCCTGGTTTTTTGATGAATGACCACAGGTTTGTCAAGATTTGTGAAGGGCAAAAAGGTAGTGCCAGACAAATGTTACTGTAGTTTTTTATTCCTTAGTATCAATTCTAATGGAGAAGGGTTTCAGCTTTCATATTGGTTTGATCACCTCTCAAAGCTCGGATTCTGAATTCATTGGAGGAATGGGGTCTTCTCTCTCCCTGATCACATGAATAAAAAGAAAAGCAAAGTAAAGGGCATGAAGAGGATAGCAATCAATGGACACACAAGGACAAACACAACCGACCAAATATGACTAGATCTTTTTCAGATCCTTTGTTCCTGTCTAATTTGACTCCCAACTGTCAGAAGCACAAATTCCTAGCTAGAGACTTGGCTTTACATATGTACTTAATATGAGGTAAATCCAAGAAAATATAATGTAAACAGTTGTAAAAGAATCTGTTAAGGTATCATAATACTGAGTTGCATGTAACTTGCTGGTAGTAGTCTAGTAGTCCCGCGTTTCTTCTTCTTAGTATTGTCACTGTAATTCTGTTATACTAGAAGATAGTTTTTACCGTTGTAGTTTTCTTGTCCCTTTGTTACATTGAATTGCACTGCGAGTCTGCTACTATTACTGTTTCATTTTTCGGTACTGACGTGACAAGACTCATCCCATATCATATGGCTTCGTACGAAGGAATCAATTCAACTGTGTGACTGCGCGTTGATAAATGAATCATAGTAACGGACCTAACGGTTATTGACAGGTCCATGAATTATTTCTCTCACCACTGAAAAGACAGAAACCATGGGAAGCATGAAAACAAGTAAACAACCAATTGATTCTTAATCTTAAAACCGACTGATAATCTATAGAGATTTACCCTGGAAACGAGTGCAAGAACCCAGATTAATGGACTTTAAAACCACCCCGTATAGCAATGGTTAGAAGAAGAAGAAGGAAAAAAAAAAAAGAGCAAGAAAGGAAATTTAATATTGTATGTGTATCTTTCTGTTATGGCAAACAAATTTGTCTTGGTTCCACCATCATATAAATTAGTTAACCTGATAAGTCATTGTAAAATTACTGAATGATGTAAAGAAGTTAAAACCCTAAACATGCATCATCCAACTCTCTAATAATCCAGATCTTCATGTAGTAGCAGTAGTAGTTTTTATGTCTACTGATTCTTCATTTCTTTTCCAAGCTAAACTGAACTAAGATTAATTTGGAGCAAATTGCACTAAGAAACTTTGACGGCATGGTGAAAAACAGCATCTGGAGACGTACTGCTTGTCAAGACAGCAAGCGGCAAGAATGGGGAAATTGTACATGGTGGACCTAAAAAATCATCAGGTGGAATAATTTTAAGTCTTTATTTCCATATCAGACAAGGTAAACTGAACTGCATTGCTTCATTGGCATGACCATCTGACTTTCATGTTCAATAGATTGACATGGTCAAGTGGAGTGGAGTCTCTTCGGACATTCCATGTGGTACCTGTGTTTCTCGTGTTATTAATAACTGGCTGGTTGGCACCGGTTGTGAGCATTTTACTCTGATTGATCAGTTACATTCTCTCTTGAAGAATTACTATCGTTTTCTTAACCAAAAAAAAAAAAAAAATTTGTCATGCATTATTATATTTGTCTCACTAGAAATTTATTGCAATTATGCCAATCTTCTTTTTTTTTTTTTGTGTGTATATAATGACCATATCAATCTAGTCATAAATAATATCATCACAATTTCTTTTGACATAAATGACTTGTAAAGTCTTTGGCACTATCATAACTACCTTTTTGAAGTTCTAGATATAGTAAGGCACCGTTTGGAATGAGGGAATGGAAGGGAAAGGAAATGAGAAGATTGGAGGGATTTGGTTTCTATTATTTGGATTGGTATTTGAGAAGGGAAAGAAAAGGATATGGAGGGCTAGTTATTTTTATTGAATTATGGTTTTCGTTCAAAAGTGGGGCAAAAAATAGAGGAAAATAAAACTAAAATAATTTTTTTTTTAAAGATCAATTTTTTCATTCTTTTCCAGTAAAGTAACACTTGATCTATTCCTTTCCTTTCTTTTCTTCTTCAATCCAGACAAAAATTCAATATTTCTTTCCTTTCTCACATAATTCAAATAAGATGGATGAAAACCACTTTTCTCTACTCTTCTTTTCTTTATTTTCTATTGGTATCCTTTCTTTTCCTTCAATTCAAACGGTGCCTAATAAAAATGTAGATCATAATAGTGTAGAAATTATTATCAAAAGTGAAGTACTGTAAATTTTAGAAACTTTACATTTTTCCTACTATAACAAAATTTTTTTTTTTCATGGTAATCCAAAACATGCTCCGACCTAAATTCTTTGGATCCAAACCGACACACTAAACAGGAGGGCAACGCTGCAACCCCACACAACATTTACCCAAGTGAGTCACAGGATGCCTAGGGAGCAATTTCGATGCTGAGACCTTTGTGTTCCAAAGAATCGCTGTTATCACTGGATCAATCTGGTGGCGGCTACTTTAACAAATTTGCAAGAGAAGTCGGCAATATTTTTTACGTGGATTTTTTTCTTTTAATCCAATCCAAGAATGTTCTACTAAAGAGAGTCTCGTTATCCACGAGTCATCATAGTTTTACAATAATTATTATCATCTAAGAGCTTTTAGCTACATTTGACGTGTTGCTAGCTTCTCGGCCTTTGCTGCTCCTCCAGCTGCCGATATTTCCATGACTAGGGTCCCAACTATTTCTTCCTAGAGATGAAAGATAAGACAAGTCAATGAACAAATATGGCCCCACCAATCTATTTCTGCAAATTTTTTACTCACTTTAATACGTTGCAATTGTCTTAAAAGTGCACGTCTTATCATATATTATTGTTGTTCTTCTATTTCTGAAAGAAAAAAAAAACTAAATTAATTGTTTAAAAATAGCATAGTACTGCCAACTGGATTGTAAATGTTTCCATAATCATTATTGCTTCCAGGCCAACAGCTTCTTCTTGGGCTGTTGGTAACCCTGCCGTTGTTTTTGAGTGGCTTCCTTGGACTGAGTTTCTCCTTGATTATACTTTTCCTCTTCCTAAATTAGATTAGAATAGACGATACAACTATTATCGTCGCGGAAAGAAAAAATTGCTTCCAACATGTGTGCAGTTCACCGACTTATCAATATGTTCATCATTTGGTTCCATTTTCTTGGATTAAGTCAGACTGCTGTCCGCTATTGGTTGAACCAAAAACTTGCTTCTTTAAGCTTTCTGGCCATTATCATTGGCTCAGATTGGAGTCTAAGAATAAATTTATGAGGAAATTATATTTCTAATGTTCATATAATAATACAAGTGAATTCCTGATTTGGATCGGTCGAACATTAAAGCTTGGTTAAGCGCTTGATCGAGGCAGTAAATGGTTCTTAACATTGAAATTGGAAAATAATCGTTTAAAACGTTTTTGATTTTGAGAACCACGATGACAATTCTTACGAAAATGGATCAATTTCTCTTCGTTTATATCCTTAATTATCCTTCTTTAACGAGCCACACCTTTTTCATGTGAACAAGGTCTGCACCACGCATCGTGGCCACGTACTAGCTTAAGGAAAAAATGGATGCTCCAACTTTTTCAATTGTCTTTGTTAGAAAATTTCCTTAAACACGAAGAAATTGGCATCAATTATTGTTTGCTAAAAAAAAAATAAAGCGGCTATGTGTTTGATACGTTCAATTCCACCACCGGCCTGAAGCCGTTATATTTTGCCAGATTGGATTCTCTTGCAAGTCAGCGACAAAATTGTTTTGGTACAAATTACCTTTGACAATAGAGTTGCAATTTCGAGGTACGAGCTTTATATTTCAAAGAGAAGGATTTGATTAACTGCAAAGTTGATAGGCTGGAGGGATTTGGTATTCATGGTTCATGCACTTCCAATTTTGGCAAGTGACATTAGTGCAAATCAAAATAGAATCCACAGTGATAGATTCATTGTTACAAGCCGAAATTGTTCAATAAAACTGGACAAATTAAGCTAAGATCCAAAGTGAAGGGAAGTTGAGAAGAGCAATCACGCCAAAGTTGAATAAGGGTATCAGAGAGTCTATTAGAGCAAATCATGAGCGTAAAAATTATTGGCGAACGGATGAATTAAAGATCTAATACCAGGACATTAGTTAATAACATGCACAGAAGGGTATTCTTTCTTTGAGTTCACAATATTGCATTCAACTTGTTGAATGTTAATTTTATTATTTGAAAACAAAAATTAGATGGTATTTATATTATTTATGAACTCTACATATTTTAAATACATTTTTATTTTAGTACGTTCAGAAAATACCCGTGGATGCCCACTGGATACCCAGATCCATAAGAGTCTGGGCATGGACTTACTTTTTCAGACCCTTTTTGGGTCTGGATGGATCTAGGTGTGGGTCTAACTAAATTAAATGAATTTGGATCTGGATCAAAGGGATCATCCAACCCAGGCTCCACCTATTGACATGCCTGCTACTATTAATGCATTAATGTAAATCAAATCATAATAAATGATTTCAAACAATCTGCTAATGAAATTTGCTATATATATGGTGTCATAATCATCATCGTTCTCTCATATTTTTACACATTTTCATGAATATTTGAATGTTCATCTTCTCTATTTCAAAAATACTAAGTTGAGTGAGGACAACTGGCGACGGAGGACAATTGTTAAATAAACCCTTGTCCTTTGAAATTGCCAATCTGAAACAAAAACAAAGGAAGTAGCAAATCAGCAGCACAGGATATTAAGTACTTTTCTTGTGTCTTCTGGAAATGCAATAAAATGGAGATTGACATTTCTTTGTCAGAACTTAAAGCCTGACATGCAATTGAGAGTCTGCAGAAAAATTTCCCAACCTTCTTCTAGTATTTGCGATTAGCTGCAATGTGCAAATCAATGACCGGTCATTTCCATATTAAGGCTCGACAACATCCAGGATAAGAAAGTACTAAACCATAGATGGAATACACGTTGCGTTATTAAAATCACCAATCCTGGCTTCTTTGATATTTTTTTCCTTCTCTTTTTCATCTTCTTTGTACTTTCCACTCAAGATGTCCCCTGATCAGAAAATGAATGCTTTAGGCTTTATATTATTCTTTCTTTTGACACGTCTGCATCCACATATCATCTGACGTGGAAGCAAAGGATGTTGCAAAGTGTCCTGTATATTAATTTGGATTGATATACAGACAGAACCCAATCAATTATCAACCTCAACCCCACTATCTTGTGAGCATTACTTTAATGTCCTTTGTTTTTCATTCTGATGATAAAATTATCCGTTAATGCCATTAATGCCCTTTTCACATACATAAAAAAATAAACGAGTTTACTAGGAAAAAAAAGACATGTCAATTGTTGAAAACATATAATTTGACGAGACTAGGGTGGACCAAACTACGATTTTTTTTGCCAACTGAACAGCATACCATGCAGAAGCATTTTGTGTCTAGAGAATTCTGCCATATTTTTCGTTGATGGTGATGAAGTGTGTAAATATGACATGAAAAGTCATTGTTGTCCATAATCCCACTTCTCCTAGTCATTTATAAAGGAGAGTGTTTTTGACGAGTCACGATC